TCTCTCTCTCTCTCTCTCTCTCTCTCTCTCTCTCTCTCTCTCGTCTCTTCCTCCCTGCCCAAATCCCCCCTCCCAAAGTGTGCTGCTGGATTAAGACACAGGAATAGTCTCCTGATCTGCTTACCGTACCTTGCGTGATGTGAGCTCACGAGCCCGGATCTTGGTGTACCCTCTTCCTCATGTTTTATTCAGAAGCTTCCTTTACTTTGTTCCCTCTCAGTCTCTCTCTCTCTCTCTCTCTCTCTCTCTCTCTCTCTCTCTCTCTCTCTCTCTCTCGTTGTAAAAGTGCATGGTTATCTTTTCCTGTTAGAATCGGACCGACGGCACCTTCAGAGTGACGGATCTTCCGGGTAGCTGTCGGGCTAGCTGGGCGAAGAATCAATTCCGAAACCGATTCCCACGACTAATGCAACGGAAGAAAAGTTCCCTTTCACGAAACCCAACGGTTTCCAGTTACTTTAATCGTTAAAATCGTCGTTTTAAAAAAAAGAATTTATCTTTGAAAAATGAAAGTTGCTTCGGAGTGTTCCGAAATCAAGGTTATCCTAAATCCTGAAGACTGAAGACGTTCGGAGCCAACCAGGTAACCACCGGAATAAATCACATCATTAGAAAGTAAGTAAGTAATGGGGATCGGAGTCGATTTCTACGATTCCTAGCTTTCAATAATAGGGGGAACCTAGCCGCCCAGCACTAGATCTAGTAGCTAGCTGTCGGCTGGCAGGTGTAACAAAGAGCCAGTTCAGAAGGGTGTTTTTATGAGCACTCATGAATAATGTTTCTCCCATCTAGTGGAACATAATATGATTCCTTTTTCTTTTTTCTTTTTTTTTTCTTTTTTTGTTTTTTTGTTTATCCATCTTTCTGTCTTCCCGACTATTTTGCCTATCTATTTATTCATCTATTTCTATCAATCTCTCTCTCTCTCTCTCTCTTTCTCTCAGTTTCGACTTGTTTTGAGTAGGTGGTTGGCGGGTGAGGTGGTATGGTTTGCTCTTTCTTTCCTATAAAAAAAAGTCTATCTTCTCTATCTCCCCTCCTTCTTTTTTGTGTTTGTCACTCTCTTGTAACTCTTCTAGTCTTCGGCACTTATATGACCTAATTGTGTTGCAAGTGCTGTAAAACTCTTACTAAAACTAAACTAAGACTTTTTTTGAACCTCAAGTAAAAGAAACATTATTGTCTCGAATTCGTCATTTCCTTTTAATACGACTAGTGGCCGAACGCTACCGCACCTCGCATCGCAGAGAGACTAAAAGGGGAGACCTTTCCCTTTAACCTGAGCCTAGCCTTTAACCCTCCTTAACCCTATCCGTACTTTGTGTTTTACTATCGTATCCATACGACGTGAGGTACTCTGTGCCACCACTTTCAAAAAAGGAAATTTACTCCTTAATCCGATCCGTACGCTTTGCATAGCAGTGTGTCAAAATGTTTTTTTTAGAGAAATACTGAACGTTTCAAAGAGATCTTCGTACTAGAAGTATTCTAAAATGTGAAGAATACAACCCCGGGGATACAAAATGACCCCAGGGCGTACGAGTAGGGTTGGCATGTTAATAAGAAACGCTGGGTGCACAAAAGCGACATCACCTGTGGTGCTCCTCCACCTGCGTTGGGCAAAAGATATGCGGAGACGTCTCCGGCGAACACCCAGGAACTATTCGGAGACACCCTCCCGCACACAAACGCACTGCTTTGGGGGCTCAAACTGCGTTTTATTTGCTGCAGATCACACATAAAATAGTCATTAAAACTGTCGCAAATCAAGAAAATTTCAAACTTAAATGCAAATTATAAAATTATGGATTAAAACAGGGCACCCTGTAACCCCCCAGATTTTTTTACTTGGTCAAGAGGCGCAAAGCATTTTGATTAGTCTATCTCCGTCGGAGACGTCTCTGAATAGATACTGCGCCTGCGTTGAACTCTTCTTGACCGTCACGTGAGCGAGTTCACAGGTGTGTGTGTGACCCTGAACACCCTGACTGCCTGCACTGTTCATTCCTCGACGGGTGAAATAGAGTGAAGTTTCCCATCTTACCCTGACATCGCGGATTCGCCTGGGATGAGACGAACCCACGCGACGAATATCTCTCTCTCTCTCTCTCTCTCTCTCTCTCTCT